AGCCAGTCTTTTGGGATCATGAAGCCGCCCGCAGCTTCAATAATATAAAATCTGCTTTAACTTCTGCCCCTGCCCTAGGGCTACCAGATTATCAAAAACCTTTCACGCTCTTTGTCCATGAGCGACTAGGAGTAGCCTCTGGGATACTTACTCAACCCTTAGGCAACACCCAACGCCCGGTAGCTTACTTCTCTACACAATTAGATCCAGTGGCAAAGGGAAGAGTGGGCTGCCTTCGCACAGTGGCAGCGGCTGCAACCATAGTCGAAAAGGCCCAGGGGTTAGTCCTTGGATACCCCCTTGTCTTAAAGGCTCCGCATGCAGTTGCTCTCCTCCTCCTCCAGGAGGATACTCAACATTTTTCTCGTCAGAGAGTGAGCAGATATAAAGCCACACTTTTGATGGCTACAAACCTGGTCATAGAGAGATACAATGCCCTAAATCCGGCTACTCTATTGCCTCTACCCAGTGACGGGAAACCAGACTCCCACGATTACCTTCAAGTTGCAGCATTTGCAGACAAACCCAGGATAGATCTTGGTGACTTGCCCTTAGACAACCCTGACTTGATTTTTTTTATAGATGGCTCTTCAAAATTGGTCAATGGAGTTGAAAGGGCGGGTTGTGCAGTGGTGACTCCATTTGGAATACTTGGAGCCGAGCCACTGCCTGGGCAGTTGGGCTCGCGGGCGGCTGAGCTTGCTGCCCTTGCACGAGCTTGTCAATTGGCATCGGGCCACTCTGTTGATATTTGGACTGATTCTAAATATGCCTTTAAAATCTGTCATGCCACTGGACAGTTGTAAAAACAGAGGGGATTTGTGACAGCCTCTGGAACTAAAATGTCAGATGCTAAACGGGTCAATGATCTCCTACAGGCTATGGTGTTGCCAAAGGCCATAGCTGTAATGCATTGCCCAGCCCATACCAGAAAGGGAGATCAAGTCTCAAAGGGCAATGCCTTGGCCGATGCTGCAGCTCAAACAGCGGCCTTACAGCCACTATCTGCCCTAGCCTTCCAAGCTCAAATTCCTCAGCCAAAGGCATATTTGGGAATATTGCTAGAGCCAAAAATATACGAGTCTACACCACCTTTAAAACAACAGAGATAAAAAGCGACAGGAGCCACCTGTAAAAAAAATAGAATATGACAATTGCCAGATAAAAGGATAGTACTACCTAAAACAGCCCTTGGACCCTATCTACAACAACTCCATCAAAGCGAGCATTTAGGTTATAAAAAACTTGCCACTATCACTAACAGGCTGTTCTACGCACCCGGAGTTTACCAGAAAGCAAAAAGGCTTTTAAAACACTGCAATATATGCAAAAGGTTTAATATCAAAAAAAAAAAGTCAGGACCCCCTGGAGCCCGCCCTTGGGCTTATACTCCCTTTAAAAGACTACAAATAGATTTTACTAAAATGCCTAAAGACAATAGATACAAAAACCTCCTAATAATTGTTGACCAACTCACGGGGTGGATAAAAGCTTTCCCCACCAGAAGAGCTACAACACAACAAATAATAAAAATACTCCTTAATAAAATTATACCCAGGTTTAATCCTCCACGTATCATTAAAAGCGATCAAGGATCGCATTTTACTGCTGACATAAACAGGGCGCTGGCCGGCTGCCTAGGAATAAAATGAAGGTTCCATACCCCTTGGCACCCAGAAAGCTCAGGACAAGTAGAGAGAATGAATCAGACCCTGAAACAAAAAATTAAAAAGCTATGTGCTGAGAGTAGGTTAAAATGGACTGAGATTCTCCCACTGGCCCTTGTGTCCATCGGAACCACCCCCAGGAGAAAACTAGAGCTCAGCCCTTACGAGCTGCTATTTAAACGCCCTGTTCCCCAACATTTCCCCTTGCTACCGGCTCACACTTCTTCTCTTTTAGGCAATGAAGGACTCACCTCTTATATTTTATCTCTACAGTCTCAGTTAAAATCTCTCCATAGGTATGCTGCTTTAAGCCAACCCCTCCCTGCCGATGTCCCAGCACATCGCATCCAGCCTGGAGACTGGGTATATATAAAAACTTAAAAACGGTCTCCCCTTAAACCTAGGTGGCAGGGACCGTATCGAGTCCTCCTCACCTCCCACACCGCCGTAGAGATAGCAGAAAAGGACAACTGGATTCATTATACTCATACAGGGAGGACGGAAGTTTCACCAGAGCTCAGGATCAGCTCCAACGCGAGCTTCCCTGACCTGAAAGGGAAAAGGCCAGAGGAGGACGACTGCGGACTTCGTGGGGGCACCGCGCGCCCACCTGGCTGCGACAAGGGTGGGCCAGAAACAGCCAAAAAAATAGAGATAAACACCTCCTGGACCTGCAGCCCGTTAGATAACATAAAACTTAAACTAACCAAGGTCCACTAATAAACTGTCACCCTTTTGGGGTCCTGCCCAGCCCAGAGAGCACCGAACTCCAAGTACTGCATCCTCTAAACACTTTTGGATCAGCTGAAACAGAGCACTTT